TAGTCTGTCGCTCTCTGCGTGAAGACTAGCTTTCGTAGGTCTCGTGCCTTCGTGCCGGCCTCCGCTCTGCCCTCGTCGAGTTTCTTGTCACGTTTATCCTCCTCTCTCTCTCTCTTTCCCTTTCGGCTCCTTGCCGCTCGCCTACGGGGTCGTCGCCGAACGTCGACCCGAGTCTACGCGCCTAGTCGCCGCGACAACTACAGTATATGAATGTTCAATATACTTGCGTGTCACTATCTGTAATGTGTAGTGATAATATATATACGACTCTAAAATGAGCGTACAATTATCGGAATAAGAGCGCCATAAGAGGGCATTATTGATCCATTTGCACAGTGCGCTTATGAACATAACGGCCATCTATTGGCCGCTCATTAGGACGGGACTAAGCTAACGAGACTAATGCCCTAATTGGCCTAATTAGGGGTAATTATCCCTGATTAGCAAGTGCAGTTTTTCCTGATGCACATCCATACGTTCCTATGAAGCTACAGACGTATAAACTCTGAGCTCTCATAGCTGGTGGTACCATGCACCCTGTCCGCTTCCATGTTGCCTCGCAACGTGCATATCGCTTGTCATCAGGGAATGTCAGCTCTGTGCCGTAGGAAGCACAAGAGGTCTCTGCCACCCACGTACCCCCAGCACAGGGTGCAAACCCAGACAAGACTCGGACGCACCGCTCGTGTGTACCTGGAGCCTGTACTGACCGCTTGGGCGACATACAGAGGATGGTCCGTCATATCGGTCATCCCGCCGATCTGAAACCATGGTGCGCTGATTGAAAGTGCGGCGCTGATCGTATGCGGTGATGCTTATGCTGCACCAATCGTACAGGGTCGGCCGTACGCTTCACTGTTCGTATGCAGGCTGAGGATACGAGAGCTAATCAATGGACTCGACAGTCTGCACGAGCGCAGCGCGCATATATGTGTAATGGTCACGCCGCCGAGGTGTTTTCCGAGCGAGGGGTCCACAAGAACCGGGTTCCGAGAGGTAGCGGATCATCAGCACATCTGATGCAAGACATGATTTGACGATGAAAAGTGGAGTATGGAGGAGGGATCCGGATATCAGTCAAATGTGTCGAGCTTGTTGCGAGTCGGATGTAAACGCACCGCCATCTGCTGTCTTGAGGGCACGGGCAGGAGTAGCACCTTGTTGATTAGCCTGCTCGGAGCCGTGAAAGACTCCTTGGAAGGCTTTGTGTTGTCAAACGAGGAAACTATGATTATCTTGCGGAAACTGACACGGGGATAGAGTGTCACAGCCAATGAGCTGTGCCACCAGACAAACAAAGACAAGCTTACTGGTGATGGGGTTGGTGCTGAGGGGCGAAGCAACTCCAGGTGACACAGCAAGAGATGGTGCAAAGAAGTAGATTCCCTAGACTGGAAGGGGCAGTGAAGAGGTAGGGCTGCTAGCTACCTACAGAAGAGATGGGTGATCGACGAGAAGATCAAGTCTGAGGTTCCCTGCCTCAGACCCCCTACTATTTATACAAATACAACGGTGCACAGACCAGGTACCTATTTGTTCCTGCTTGGTCAGAGTCTGCTGACTCATGTCCTGCCTCCTGACCTGTCACATGGTGTCCTCACGACTAATACCTGAGTCATGCTAAGTCCGGGCTTCCTCCGATGAGTAAGCGCTCCTGCTGACGCGTGAGTCACCTGCCAGTGAGTGAGGATGGGCGCTCCCGGACCCCACAAGGTCCCGGGTTCAATCCTGGCTCCTCTACTTTCCAATACGAGTTGCCCGTGGTCAAGGTGAGCGTCTGTCCTGGTTCACATGACCCCTAGGTCACGTGGCACGAGAAAACTGTGACATAGAGCCCAGGGAGCGGATATGTTAGCGAAGGGTCCAGGGGAAAAGAGCGGGCAGAGGATTGCGTAGCAAGCATGGAGTTGTGGTAGATGGGTGATGAGGGAAGGCCTGCGTCAGGACTCAATACGCCTCTGTCGGTTGTGGAACGCGAGCCCCACGAACATCTGTGGGAAAAGAAATTTCTGGAGGGATGTCAATGCCGGTGTAACAGAGGACGGGAGGAATCTGACAGTTCACTGATAGTTAGGATAGTGAGCACATAGACTAAGCTAATACCTGTCTGTCAATAGGCAGAATCCGGCGTGACGTTGGATGCACTTACGCCGTGATTGCGCCTCTGTTGACCATGATTGTGATGATGCGGTTGAGCATGACGTTGATTCTGTAAGGTCTTATAGCTCCGTCAACTACCGAGGAGCCGGCACAAATAAGCATATAAAGACTCACTTGCGTCGACGCCAGTGGCCTTCTTGCCCCACAGATACACGTACAACGTAATGTCGATTCCGATATCCCTGATGTTACCTTTGATTCAATTGGCGATGAGCGGGTACTGCAAATACACAATTTCAAGCCACAGCTCCATGCACTAGTGTTGTGACACGTCCTGTACAGCACGCTGGTGAATGCGAAAGACAGCAACTGGTCATATTCAGAGACCAGCAGAGGCCGTAGAGGAGATGGGGTGGGAACGTGTACAATGGCATCAGGAAAAATCTCATCTGCTAATCAGGGATAATTACCGCTAACGAGGCGAATTAGAGTGTTAGTCTTGTTAGCTTAGTCCCACATAATGAGCAGCCATTAGACGTCTGTTAGAGAGGTAAGTGCGCTACGCGAATGGATCATTAATGTTCTCCTATCACGACCCTCTCAATCCAATAATCATAAGATTGACCGCGCGCACAACCGACTACTATGTCACAGCGTTACGAAGCCCGTGAGTAAGGCGTCTAACCAGTTAACGCGATGAATTATAGTCGACAAGTCTGCAGTGAGTCGTGCTCTGTTAGGAAGCCTGCATGCGTTATGACTTCGTATGTTCACAGAATCTGTTCTATTGTGCTTTCCGGATGCCTGTGGGGTCTCGTGCTCTATCAGGCAGCATGCAGGAATCACCCAGTTGGGGAAGAAGTGTACCTCAGGTGTTGACGGCAGCGCATTTCCTTATTTTACGCCCCTTGGATCTTCATAGTCTGCTGTGACTGTTCTCCCGGTTTTTTTCAGTACATGCTCCCTATAGTTGAGCATGGGTTACTGTCCCCTGGCTTTTGTTCAGGCATGTTGCATGGTAAGGTGTATGTATTTGGCCATCTTGAATGATATTTCACCTTCTTTGATAGTACCGGATTCAGACATACTGTAAGCGCCAGAAGGATGGCGAACGATCTGTGTCTATCTACTTTGTACAGAGAGAGAAAATGGAAAATCGAGAACCTGAGAAATTTAGAGACACTGTATAGCTACACTTCTCAGGTTTTGGATTTTTGAGAAGGGAGCTCACTCTTGAGCCTATAGTTTTTCGAACATTTCTCCCCACCAAACCAGGTCCAAGCGTGACAGTTCTGGGCACATGATGTAGTTGGTTGTGCGCGCGGCCAATCTTATACTCATTTCAGGGACGTATGTATATGATTATCATCACACATTATAGCATTGGTGGTCCAACAATGGCGACACGCGAGAATATATTGAACACTCAACTACTGTAGTGCGACATGACGTTAGGGTAGACAGATCTACAGAACAACCTAGCCTACTGATACGGATATCCCCGCCGACACTGGGAAGGGAGGGATGTTGAACTTGGACTTATCCGGTCCGGACTACACGAGGCTATGCGTCTTCTAGCGCTTAGCTGTGGTCGCTTATGTAGTATGTTACCATATTTGGGACTCTCTGCTCATGTACTATAGCTATGCTTCCGGACTCTTCTGGTACTGTCTAGGACAATCCGTACTACTCCAGAACGGTCTAGACAGGTCTATGCCTTACTCATCTCTTACTCATCCTATGGTGTGATACATCGCAATTCTTTCGTTGTTGTATTATTCATCGCACTATGGTACATGTGACTAACCACTCTTCGATTAGTCATGGACACTTCTCTGTAGTATATAAGGACTTCAGATTGCGTCCTCCCTCTTCAGTCTTTCCTTACTGACTGAAGAGTGAGTACTTCGTTACCTCTACCTCTAACTTGTAGTTACTTACTTGATCCTTTGTAGTCTTGCTTCGACTCTAGGTACAGTTGGTTACTGCAATATAGTCTTTCCTTACTGACTGAAGATCTTGCTTCGACTCTAGTCAGATCTAATCTTTGTCTTCACAGCCCCGAGTTTATCAAGGGAAGACAGAAGGATAGGGGAATGGCGCTGCGCTGATGCTACTATGGAACGACCTATACATGGGCTGACGATTTACATACAAAGAGGGGGCAGGGAGAAGGAGCGGCCAAGGAATGGTGGTTTCGAACAGGTATTGTGATGTCAGTCTAGTGCTACTGCATGTACTTACCTGAGGACATGATGATTACACGAGCAGGAAGGGTACATGACATTAGAGGATAGACGAACTTACCCATATGCAAGGAGAGCATCCACTTCATGCAGCGCCCGTGACATGGAGTTCACCACAAGTCATCAGGGCAGGCAGGGAGAGATAGAACGGAATGAGCACACCTGAAGCTTTGTGGAGTGTGTGCTCCTTGATCTTCGTCCACCTACCTGCACTGGATCCCTGGCCTTGCCGCTCCTTCCAGATGATGAACATACGAACACGGTGCACCGTGCAACCTGCCCGATAAGTCAGTGTGCGTTACTAAAGACGTGTCAGACTATAGCGGGAGTAGAGGAGTAGAGCAGAGATGGAGGTGAAAGAGCGAGCTACCGTGACGTGGCGGCTGGGAAAGAGGACATGAGTTTAAATACCCGTCGAGCTTGCGCGTCCAAGCATGAGGGGCGTCTAAATGAATCTCCTTCCGCATTCAACTAAGTACCGGCGCTCGAAGAGGTAGCCATGCATCCGCCGGAGTGTACACGAGCGGACGACACCTGCAGCCTCCCAAATTGGCCACATTTGAACATACATGGACCTTCATAACAAGGAAGTATCTTGAAACTTGGTGAGTCAAGTCGTTGTTCGCTCACATTTGCTGCCCGCCATTAGAGACAGCGAAGAGCGGATTAGTAGCCATTAGGGGAGGTCAGAGTGGGCGATTCAGCCTACGATTCAGCCCCGATTCTGGTTCGATTCT